GCCAAAATGGCCGACTATCATTTGTGTCGATAATTGATTGTTGACTTTACAATCAAAACTAGCGGCTGCATCGGTCTGTGGAGCGCAATTGAAAATGTCAAAACATAACGGCCGCGCAGCAGATGTTTTGGTCATTTTCAATTCTGTCATGATTGTGGTCTGCTGCTGTAAAAGTGAAACTTTGCCGTTTGCGAGTCGAGCAAAGGCTGATTCTCTTCTCTTGTGTTCCATTGCGGACGTCTTACCAGCTCCTCCTCCTGCTCCTCCTCCCTCCAATTTGGGTGTGAAGCTTCCGGTGACGTGAGCGGCGACTTTGGGCCGTGGCGACGTGCCGCCCTCTGGCACCAGCGAGGGCAGAACCCGAGACACTTCATCTGAACAGGAAGTGACCCAACGGTGAGTCAAACGGCAACAATAATTGCACTATTGTTCTTAGAGAGCGTAACTTAGCCAACTGCGCCACTCTACACGTGTCCCCCCTTAAAAAAAACATTTTTTTTAATCCTAAATGGCACTCCAGTAGCGCTGCTGCCAAATTGTGGCCCCCTCCGTGCTTCTTATCTAATCGAATCTGAAGAAGAAGAAGATGTGATGTATTTGTAAGCCTCACCTCGGACCGCCGACGAGATCTGCTTCTGGTAGCGCTGCGACAGCGACTGCTCCGCAACAAAACAAAAAAACACACATCAAAACACAGTCGAGTTTGGTATTTGCTTGTCTCACGCAAATTGGGGGGGAAAAAAAAGCACAACAAACTCTAAAAGGTTCTTGGAAGCACCGTCAAACGTCCTTGACTGGATCATATCTGAATAGCCCCTTTCCAGTCGGCCTTCAGTCGAGATTTACCCGATGCAATCCAGCTCTGTGCAGCCCCACAATCGCATCGCAATTATTGAAAACAGGCAACGTAACAGCACGCAACTGTGCCTCGTAAATCATCTGGAAGAGTTCAAATTCCAAATTCATCTCAGAACAGGGCGAGCGCATCGAGCATGATGTCAAACAAAATTCGCCATATTCACCAGAGACGCTCACTAATAGTGCCGCACGCAGTTACCTTGAGAAACTAACTTGATGACTTGAAATGATGACTTGATTTTAAAAGTAACCAAGTGAGATGACAAGTTACTTTGAAGAGTCACATTACACAGATACCAACAACCCCGCTTCACATAAAAATAATTGGAAGCGTATTTTGAACAGTGACATTTCCGAAGAATGTTTTTCATTGCAAATACAATTCAAGGCTACCCTTGAAATGAAGTCGGAGATGCAGACTCGGCAAAACGACGGGATTAAGTGCGGAAGACATCCCGTGTCACATCCGTTGAAGTTATTGATGGAGATAAAGTGGATCAAGTCGGAGAAAAGGCAAGCCCATTTTAAATCTACTGCTCATTTTGGAATAATTCCACGGCTCATTGCATTCATTTGAATACATTTGTTGCATTGGAAGTGCACTTTATGGACACCCTGTCCATATTATCTCAATATGAAGCGGCCTAACTCTCTCATGAATATGAATAGATATGATTGAGACCCCCCCCCCCCC